AAAAAATCCACAGTAGTGTTTCAACAATTTCTTAAAAGGAAAAAAAAAAATTTAGAGTCGAATTTATTATCTCTTCCTCAGCCGTTGTGTTAGAAATATCTTGCAGCATAGTTTACTAATTTAATGCCATGGTAATTAACACAAATTATAGCGTTATAAATGTTTATTTATTATTTTTTAATGAAAACTTTGGTATGAATGATGGTAATAACTATGGAAATGTCATCACAGTCTGTGACAAGGTTCTATATTGGAATATTTGTAAGGATAGAATTTATGAAAAAAATCTAAAGAAATCTAATGAAAATGTAATTTAACATTTAATCTACTGAAACCAGCATGCAACCACTGCTAGAAAAAAAACCATTTGTGTATTACTGAGATATAGCCATTTTGACAAACTAACTTTGGTTTCACTCGTTTATTTACTGACTTCTTAATACTTAAATACAAAATAATTATTTAATCTGCCTGCAAGTTTATGTAATCAACCATTGTATCACGTGTCAACAAGCTAAATGAGTGACATGTACTGTAATTGTTTTATAAAATAATAGATATTTGTTCGTACTTTGGATGCGTTTTACAGACTACATAAAGAGCTTATAGGTATTAAAATAACAAACACAAACCACAATATTTTACAATTTGTGTTCTCTGTTGCTTTATTTCTTTACATCATTCATGTAATAAACAAACAAAAAAATCCACAAACATACATATATATATATATATATATATATATATATAACAGTAGATTTCTAAAGAGCAAAAAGCTTCATTCAAGGCACTAATTCTCTCACTCTGTACAAGTAAATAATATTTTTAACATATTAATTACAGTCAGAAAAATAAGTAGATACTCCACACCATTTATCATTCAAATTCAAGGAAACTCCTTCATAACCTTTGGTTGTTTTCATCATATTAACTCTAAAGTTCTCTTCTGTATGGCAATGATCATCTCTATTTGTGTTCCAATACTGTTTTAGATGCTGTAAAGTGACCATCTCAGACAGACTCTTTCAGGAGGACACAGCTGGGATCCTTCTTGGCCAAATCCTCTTTTTCAGGTAATCGTTTGGCTTTTTTCCATGCGAAACCTCTGTAATAAGTGAAAGAGTCGAAAAACATATGGTTACCCATTTACACATGACACTTCGCTCATGTCACTTACACTTTAACTTCTGACGCAACATTCTCTTGCGACATAAGTTGCATCATGTCTTGTAGATCAGATCCAACTAGCACAAAACTTTAATGTGAATCAGGCCACCACCAGCTTACCTATCATCCACATCCTGGATAGTATCAGGCAAAGGTTGTGCAAGGGTTTCTGGGAGAAAGAAGGCGAAGATCCCACTGAGAATCGGAGCTCCTCCGTAGATAAAACCAGGCAGCCATGGGAAATCCTCCCCAAGAAGCAGCACCATGGGGGCCACCATCGCTCCAAACCGAGCCATCATGGACACCCATCCCATTCCGTTTTGACTGAGAGGACACAGAAGAAAATTACACAAGTTGACATCACTTATTCTGAAAAATAGTATGAGATTCTGTGGATCTTGTCAAAAAGAAACAAAGTGATGGACAATGCAGGGCCGTAACCATAGATATTGAAGGGGATAAGTCACTCCCACTAATTAAAAATGGACAAATTATCTCTCCCAATATATCCTATTCTTGATAATGCTTTGTTTGCTGTTAAGATGCCAAAAGGTTTAAAAACTTATATTATTAGGCTGATCTGCCTCAGCGGTCTAAAAGTGCTTGTCAATGTCAAAATGGCTAAGACTAGTTCAAATAAAAGAAGGCAGGCAGGATTTACTGCTCTTGATTTTTTTTTTCTTTCAAATGTTTAAAAGTTAGATGTAAGTAGCTAAACATTTGATATTAGACAACCCTTTTACAATAAAAATGATAAATAACCAAGAAATAACCAATATCCAGTGATGCAAACTACACTTTTTTTTTTTTTCAAATTTCACTTTTGTATTAAAAATATAGTAAGAATCATTTAGCCTACGTGACAAGAAACACTGTCATTTTGCATTATGAATAAGAATGAATCTGTGCATATATTTCAAAAATGCAAAATCCTTTTCTCCAATTTTTTTAATTTATTCATTTTCAAAGACAATATTATTCTTGTCCTTTTACTCTTCTTCTTTCTTTCTTTGCAATCCTTCAATTATCATCAAAACAAATATTATTCTTATTCTTTTACTGTTCTTCTTTCTTTTTCACCGAAGTCCTTTATATAAAAAATACTACTACAAATCAGGTGATTCTTTTTACTTAACCGAATTAAATAAAGGATTTAAATGGATTTAAGGGTAATCAGTTTGAACTATTTGCAAAGAATTT